GGGAGAAATGTCTGTCAGAAGGAAGGTTCCACACATGTGTTTGCCTGGCTTATTTAGTACCAGACATTTACCAATAGTTACTACACAGACAACACTAGTACATGTATAAAATTCAGAAATAAATCCATATATTGTAAAGGTGGTGTGAAGAAAAAATGACTCACAAAGCTGCATAATCAAACAAGTTTATGGAGCCCCATGTTAGACAACATTATTCAAAGAATCAATAGAAAATTACATCGTGCAGACTATATATGAATGGAGGTCAGAGAAGGAAGACTTCATAGGAGCTGGAAAAGTCAGAGAAGGAGTCCCTAAACTAGCAAAGAATAAATGGACTTTACAGAAGATTATGAAAGGAAGAGTTTTGGCATAACATCTTATTCACTAACATATCAGAAGATTTAAAACATGTCTGTTTCTATCAGCATTATTTGCATGAAGAAAGGCTCTACATACCTAACATATTAAAGGGCCAAAGCAGATCAGATCCTAATGTAAAAACTAAAATTGGATAGAAAAGGTGATACTAGAATATGCAGAGATCTGTTAAGGCACATTTTCATTTGATGCACAAAAGGCAAGGAAAAAATGGAGTCTACAATATAGACTTTTTTAATATGAAAGACTAAAAAATATGAAACACTAATTTGCATGATGTCCTTGTATAAACTCATCCTCACTGTATTTCATTACTAAATATAAATTACTGTTTATTATCTCACTAGTAGGCAGTGAAACCAATTGCTCTAGATTAAATCAATAGGCTCCAGATATCTAACATATTAAATGGCCAAAGCAGATTAGATCCTAATGTAAAAACTAAAGTTGAATATATAAGGTGGTATTTGAAGATGCAGAGAACTGTTAAGGCACATTTTCATTTAATGCACAAAAGGCAAAAAAAAAATAGAGTCACTATAGATTTAATATAAAAGACTAAAAAATATGAAACATTTATTAATTTGCATCATGTCCTTGTATAAAATCATCCAGGTTGTGTTTCATTACTAAATATGAACTACTATTATTAACTCACTGGTAAGGCAGTGATGATCAGACCAATTGCATTCATCCATGCTGTAATGTTCTCTCTTGGTACCAAGGGCTGACTGCAAGTGGATGAAAAAAATATAAA